AGGGCTCCCATAGGAGGTCCAACAAATCCTGACCCATTAAATTGAGGCAGGGCTAAATCCCTCCACCCTGCAGTAGGGTTGAGTATAGCATCCCACCATAGATAATGGGCTCCAACAAGATAGCTCATGCACCAGGGATAGATACTTGTACTACAGTTGTAAAGCCTCCATGGGACAGAACTAGGCCCTCTGCATGAGGGAGACAATTGTGTATCTGGGTCTATCTGAGGGACCCCTAACCACAGGACCAACTAGGCAACTTATGCCACCAAGTAAAACCTTCTGTGCCAGGAATGGGTTATATATCTGAGTCACTGGCTAAAGGGGTGCCACAGGCTATTGCCAATGGTATTGGTTACTCTCCACAGGCTAATAGTAAGGCTCTATTATTAAAGGAACAACTTATTTTTGTCACTGAACATGGTGAAAGCGAGAGACCCTAAGATGTTGGAGATGCCAGAGCCATGGGATATCTGGTGAGGAAAGCTGTTAACAGGGAGTGCAACCAGCCCAAGTGAGAGAAGTGTGTTACAGTCAACAAAGCTAAAAGAAGTTGGATATCTGAAGAGAACTTTGACATCAGACATGGAGATGAAGAGCATGGAGTCTGACAGGCTGGTGTTTGGTCTTGCTTTGGTCCAATAATTCCTCACTTGGCTCCCGACTCCTAATTTCAAGTGTTTAAGCACTTGTTCCCCAGCTAGTAGCATGACTTTGGGAGACTGTAGAACTCTTGGAATGTGAGGTTTAGTTGTAGGACATAGGCTACCAAAGGGGTTTTTGAAGGTTATATCTTCTTTTGGATATGTTCTATCTCTTTACTTCCTACTCTTGCTGCCACATCAGGGGCTTTGTCACATGCTCCTGCCACAATGGAACCAACCCACTATGATGCACTATACCTTCTGAAATCACGATCCAAATAAACTTCTCCTATTAAGTTCCTTTAAAAAAATTTTGGGGCTGGGGGGATGCCTCCATGGTTAAGAACACTTACTGCTTTTCCGGAGCACATGTGTTTGGTTCCCAGAACCCACACCAGGCAGCTGATAACCACCTGTAACTGTGGCTGCAAGGGATTTAACACCCTCATTTGACATCAAGTGACGCCACTTGAGCACACGCCACACACACACACACACACATACTATACAGACATAAAAATGAAAATAAATCCCAAATTTAAAAAAAAAAAATATTTCTTTTTTTTTGTGTGTGTGCACATGTGCCATGGTGTCCATGTGGAAATCAGATGACAACATGCAGGAGTTGCTTCTTTTCTTCTTTCAGTTTTGGGTTCCAGAGATCAAACTCAATCTATCAGGCTTGTTGGGCTTGGTTACAAGCCAGGCTAGCCCTATTTTGTTTTTTGTTTTTTTGTCTTTTTTTTTTAATTAAAAGTGTGTGTGTGTGTGTGTGTGTGTGTGTGTGTGTGTGTGTGTTAGAAAGAGAGAGAGGTGAGGAAGGGTTTTGAGAGGTGGGTATTGAGTTGCTTTTGCATACATTTTGTCACTCCCAAAGAAAAGTAATTTAGGATTGGGGAGGAGAGTGAGTGGTGAGGCTGGGAAGAATCAGGCCCCAGGGCGTTCTCAGTATAGGAGGGGCCAGTATAGAAGAAAGTAGTGCAGACACTGTCATCAAATCCACTACATTATTCAGCAAAGGGATAAACCTCTCACCACTTCACCCAATGTTAAATGACCCAGCCATTTGTTGGGTGGTGGATTGGGCTCTTAGTTGACAGAGGAGTCCTGAGCTAGATAGCAAAGATCCCTGGCTTTATGGGCTGCAAGCCAGGAGAGATCCAATGTGAATCTAGGAATAAGTTTGGTGAAGGCAGTGTGAGATGTATAAGTAGTTTGCTATAGGTTGTGGCACATTTGATCAATTACTTAGGCTAAGTGGTTGCCTTTTTTGAAGTTTATGAGACGGTAAATATGAGGCAGGAGATCAACTCTAGAGCACAATGGAACACAGCAGGGGAGAGAGGGTGGAACCTGGAAAATTGAGCTGGGGATAAGTTTGGGAGAGTAGTTGATCTAGACCCACCTAAAGATTTTCTCAGTCAGAAATACAGATGCACTGGAAATTGCTTCAACAACTATTTTTACCTGAACCAAAAAATAGACTTAAAAAAATCAGCCATAGAGATTATGGGCCCAGAAGGAGGAGGAAAGAAAGATGTAGAGAACAAAGCAGAGCCACGGTGGGGGGGCACCTGTCATTTATTTATATGTAGAATAAGATAGTGATCCAGTGATCTGAAATGTCAACCTGAAATTTGCCAAATTGTGTACACATGGCTGGCTTGAAGTTCAGGGTTTCCACGTAGAAGCAGCACTTTGCCCTTCAAACATTAGCCTAACACTGGGGGCAGGAGCGAGTCTGCTAACCACAGAAGAAAAGCCTGGTGGGAGGGAACAAGCCTGAAAGATTTGATTTTGGAGTTCTTAGGGGACACGGAGGAGAGGTTATCCTTTGGAGTAAGAAGGTTATGAGAAGAGTATTAATGTCACAGACAGACGGACAGCAGCACAGTGGGAGGAAGGGGTGAGCTCTGAGGAGAATTCAAGCCCCTGTGGCGTAGTAGGGTCCCTTTTCCCTGTTTTCACAGGAAGTGATCTGGGAAGGAGATTGGAAATTCCCCCTTTTGGTTTGTAGTTGGTCAGTGCTGGGGTAACCAGGGAGTAGTCAGTTAAAGAATGATAGTTGATGGATAAACATCTTCCCTGGCCATTGGGGGGTTAATTGGGCAGAGAAGGCAAGAATCCAGAGATGCATAATCGCTTTAGCTACATAATTGTTACAGTTTAATAGAAATGAAGGAGCTTTATAGAAATAGCCTGACCAGCTGGTTGAGCTGGAAATTCTGGGGCTGTTGTCTCAGTGGCTGTGGATCCTCCCGGTTCCACAAGAGAAGACGGAGACATACAGATGGAAGGACGCCCAGGGAGAAGCTCAGTGTCACCAAGGCAGATAATCTGAGTTTGATTTCCGGATTGTAGAAGAAGAGAACCTGTTTCTGAAGGTTGTCCTTTGACCTCCACACACTGTGTGGGGCTCATACATCCACATGCATATACACAGACAACAAATAAAATGTAATAACTGAAAGGGTGTGTGGAAAGGAAAGCTACCAGGGACTCTTTCAGTAAGGACTCCAGAAGGGTGCTTGAGCTCCTTATAGGGGATCTGTGCTAAGTGGTTTCTAAAGGGCAGAACACATGTGTGTCCTTTAGCTAATTGCTAACTCAGTGGGCTTATATAATAGTACCACAATAAAAGTCGGAAAATAAGTACAAGATAGCATCACATGATGAAAATTGTCTGAAAGACAGACAAAAATGAGCATTAACAAAGAACTGACAGGAGTGACTACCATTTATATTTTGCTGAATTTAGCATTAGGGATTTTCATGTTTCTTAAACTCATCTGCATGCATTTTAACAAAGGTACACACTGCAAATTGAGTTGATGCCACAGAACTGTACACTTTACCTTAACAGGTAACATTTTTTGAATGATATGTTTTGAAAAGTTTTGAAAAGCTCCAAATGATATGATCAATAAAAGTACATTGTTCTATATTCACAACAGCTGCATAGCACACATTGTGCATCGGCACTTAGCATTATCTTACTTAATAGTGACTCATCCTACACTCATCTCTAGACTTTTCCACCATTGAAACCAGTCGTGATGTGAAGCCACCTCAGCACGTATGTACCTAACAGGTGTGAGGGGTGATGTCCTCTCCTACCTAACGACTTCTCATCCCCTTGTGATGATTTGGAGGGTGAGTTTTCTCCTTGAGCTTCCATATGTCTAGGGAACTCTTGTGAAACCTACTTGAAGTGCTTGTCTAACAAGCTGCTTCTGCTTGTCGCCTGACTCATACCTCTGATGTGGTGGAATTTTCCCAAAACACAGCCTGTTCCCGGGAGACTGCTGCAGTTTTTCTAAAATTTATGTCTTGTCTGCTTCTGGAGATGGATCTCCTTTACCTCATCCTCTGCACACAGACTCATCTGTTTGTCATCCCTGAAACCAAGATAGCATTGTAGATGACTGCTGGGAGCTGGGACTCTAAGCTCTAGGTGTGAGGCAAAGGCATGTTTATCTTCTTTCATGGAACCATGGAGCAGCTGTACTTAGAGTACTTCTAGTCCCGCGTTCACTCCTGAGACTTCACAGCTCAGTGACCTGCACTTTCCTAGCTTAGTACATACTTATTCCCTCATCTGGATTGTGGAGTCCATTCCATTGCTTAAAACTCGCCCCCTGTTTTAATCAATGGATAAAATGTTCTGTGCATTACTCCTGAATGGATAAGACTATTAAGAAGGAGTGCAGGATATGCAGAGGAAGGACATAGTGTGTGCATGTTTGCATGACAAGGACATAGAATATCATGATCTCTAGGGGAAACAGATCTCTTCAAGGTATGCACTAAGCATTCTTTTCTCCCGTGTCTCCAGATGCAGTTTCCTTATGTGCTAGGTGTCTGGAGAAAGGGAACATTGCCTAAGTTAATGAGGGTAGAATTTGTGTAGCTGGTCATGAGAGTATGTAGAGATGTGCAGAGAAAGAGTGAACTGATACGTATCAGGGCTAACTAAAAGGGGAAATGAAAGAACAAAGAGGAAAACTGAAGTGCACACAGGAAATCTTGACTTCTACGTACAATAGGATGAGAGGAAGTGGCTTAGGGCAGAGAAAGTGGTTAGGTATGGCTCAGTCAAATACAGAAGAAAGACCTTGTTCAAACTAGTTTTCCAAAGTTACAGGCTTTGAGTGCCAGTAAACAATATCTGAACACTCTTCCATGGGAGCCTCCTAATGTGTCCTCACAACCTCTTGGGTGTGCGCTGTGACAGAGTTAATACCAGTGAGACTGCATCTTTATGGATTCTTACCAGTATATAGATCTTGACTCACAAAGGGAGGTAAAGGAAGGAGAAATATGCAGCACGTATCACACAGAGACAAAAGTGGAGATAAAAGCAATTTAATGGGGCAAAGCAGAAAAGATGCATTTTTTTCCCATAGACAATCCCATAGAGTTCTGCTTCAGAGAAGCTCCTGAGGAATCGAAGAGCATTTAAGGCACTGAGACATTCTGCTTAACTCGGAGGCTCTAAAGACATCTTGGAGGGCTTGGAGGAAGACACTACGACACACATTTTTAGAGTGCAATAGAGAGTGCGGCAAAATATTGCTACCTGGTCCCTAGACAATGGGGACAGAAACAGACAGGAAGGGGTTCAGGATCAGGTGGTTGGCTCTTCAAGGACCTGACTGGCTATGGACTATGTTACTTCTACTTCGTCTTCTGCTGAGTTAGCTCTGGAGTGACATTTGTAGGGTACACCTCAGTAACCTTGGACTGGCATGGCTCTGGTACCTTGGTGTAGCCCTGATCAGGGACCTTGGTATAGTTGGGCTCTGAAGTGTTCACATAGCCAGGTTCAGAAACATTGATAGAGCATGGCCCAGGAATCATGGTATGACCTGTGTCAGGGTTATTGGTGGTACATGGCTCAGGAAACATGGTGCAAGCTGGCCCAGGTCCAGGGATGTTGGTAGAGCATGGCCCAGGAACCATGGTGCAAGCTGGCCCAGGTTCAGGGATGTTGGTAGAACATGGTGCAGGAACCATGGTGCAAGCTGGTCCAGGTTCAGGGATGTTGGTAGAGCATGGCCCCGGAATTGTTGTATAATCTATTTCAGTGGCTTTGGTAGAACATGGCCCCGGAACCGTGGTACAATCTGGCTCAGAGATGTTGGTAGAGCATGGTCCAGGCATTGTGGTATAATCTGGCTCAGGGATGTTGGTAGAGCATGGCCCAGGCATTGTGGTATAATCTGGCCCAAGGACAGCCTTGTAGCTTGGCTCAGGCAATTTGGTGTTGCATGGCTCTGAAATCTTGGTGTTTCCTGGTTGTGGAACATCTGTGCAGCATGGTTCCGTGGTGGTTATGGGAACAAATTGTCCTTGTGGTGGAGGCTGACAAGGTTGCTTCACTTGATGCTGTTGAAGCTGAGGAGGTGCGACAAAGGGCTGCTTCTGCTGGTAGGAACTCATGCTTCAAAGGCTGCTGACCCTAGAGACAGGACAACTGATTGGGTAGTTTTGAGGGAATTGGTAGAATCCCAATATTTTTTATTGCTTTTCCCCTATGAATTAAAGATGCTTCTATTTCCATGAGCTGGATGGAAATCGCACCTTGCTTGTATAGTTGTTACTTATTTTTAAGGAAAAAAGATTATGGGAATTTTATGGTCTCTGTATAAGAAATATATGGTTATAGTTGATTCCTTTCTTTCTTTCTTTCTTTCTTTCTTTCTTTCTTTCTTTCTCTCTCTCTCTCTCTCTCTCTCTCTCTCTCTCTCTTTCTTTCTTTCTTTTGTTCTTTCTCTCAGTTTCTTTGAGATAGGATTTCTCTGTGAACAGTTCTGGCTATCCTGGAACTTACTCTGTAGACCAGGCTGGCCTTGAACTCACAGAAATTCTCCTTCCTCTTTCTCCCAAGTGCTAGAATTAAAGGCATGGGCCACCGCTGCCCAGCTATAGTCAATTTCATTATTAGGCACACTTCACATTGTCAGAATTATAGATCTCAGGAGACATTAGAACCCATTCTCCTCTGGCTGGCTGCTTGTCTGGAAATAGATAGCTACAGGCAATTTGCTTTGTGACTGAGCCCACAAGCAGAAAAGGGGGCAGCCTCCAGCTGCAAATTATTCATTACATAAGACTCTATGTCCTAAACCAAAAGTATGGGATATTTGGGGAGGGGGCAAGTCTTGGCCTAAGGGAAGAAAGGTCAGGAATTTCTCAAGAGCTAGTCTTGTATTAGTCCAACACATGGACACCATTGTCTTTTCTCTCTGCTGGCATCCCTTTCTGCAGAATAGTACATTAAAAACTGCTCCCTCTTTACTAGTCTCTTGAATTTATTATTTTTTCACATCTGTGTGACTAGAGCCCTTTTACAGTTTTTTCCTCTATGGTGTTTTTTAAAATCTACGTACAGACCATAAAGAGAGCAGAACAACTCAAACCAAACAACAGTAAGTGCCTAGGATTGTTGTGAATCCCCAGGTTTTCTGTCACTTCAGAGAATCATAAGACAAAAACGTCTAGAGTGGAATTCTCATAGGAAGGCTCCCTGTGAACCACCCCTCGTGCTTGCAGGAGTCACATATGAGCCCAAATTCACACTTTTCCTCTACACTTGTTTAGTGTGTGTTCTCACTGCACTGCTGTTTGTTCACACAAGCTCATTGTGGCTTCCCACCCGAGGCCTCTGTTAGATTCCAAATCTTCCCTTCTTTATCCTAGCAAGAACATATCTCTTTTGTTTCCAGTAAATCCTGTATTATATTCATGATGGATTATAGGTTCATGGAGCAAGGAAGATTTTAAGATTTGAGCATCAAAATGTATAGAGCAGTATCTTTGATGATGAAAATTCTCAACAAGATTAGAGGATGCCTGGTCCTGTTGTCACCCACAACTTCCTGTTTGCCTAATGCTGTTCTTTATAGGTCACCCCCCTTTTCTGATCCTCAATTCTACAGCTGTTGTTTGAGAGGTAAGTGAAACATCTGCAGTGAGAATAAAGAGGACAAACCTTTAGGTTGTCAAGAGTTGCCAACCAAGATCAGCTTCACAGAGTGTCTGTTAGAAAGTTCTAAGTGCGGAGTCTTACCTCAGATGATGAGGCTCTCTGGACTCTTGGATGTGTTGAGAGATCTCTGGCCAGCTGGATTTTTATACAGAAAATGAGCCCTTCCTTAAGGAAGTGGATTTTTTGGAGTTGCTCTGCCTTCATTCCAGCTTTTGTGAATGAAAATCTGTGGTTTAACATTGTATTCATGCTTACTGTCTGATGGTGATGTCACCTGGCCTGACTTCATTATCCACCCTCATGGTGTGGCTGCTATGATGGGGATCAGGCTTCTTTGGAGGTGATGCATTAAATCAAATGGCAGTGATAGATGTCTTGGACTAGAAACAACCCTATCCACTAATCCAATTCAGCTTTTCGGTGTTTGGAGTGGATAAAGAGGTATTTCTAGTTCTTCTGGTAGGTCATAGGGAAATGGCAATGAAGAACTCATGTGTCAGTGAAGTCCTGCTGGTGAGGGCAAATAAGAAGCTGAAAGTATGAGAGTTTTGGAAACCAGTTCTTTTCACTGTGAAGGAAACCCTTAAAATGACAGTCTGGTTTTTAAAAATTGTAAATTGAAAACTTCTGATTACCAACTAATATAATGCACCCTCAAAACAAAGTGGTGTTTTGCTTCATGCAAACATTGTGTGAAAATCAAATCAGGGCTACCAGTACATGTAGCCCTTCAGACCTTTTGTTTCCTTTTCAGGGCAAATGCACTCAAAAATCCTCTCAGCCATTTTAAAATATGCTATGCATTGCTGTTCACTACCCCATGGTGCTATTAAACACCCCCATCCCTACTACTATTTCCAGCCTCTGATCAGCACAACTCTACCTTCTGTTTCCATAAAACCACGTGTTTTAGATTTTACATATGAACGAGCTCATGTGTTATTTGTCTTTCCCATTTTACTTACCACAATGATCCCCTGTTCTATCCATATTGTTACCAATGAAAGGATTCCATCCTTCGCTGTGGCCGGATATGATCCCATTGTGTATGTGTATCCCATATCATTAATTGTAAATAGGGCTTCAGTGAACTTCGGAGTTCAGTGTTTCTTTAAAATGTTGGTTCATTTCTTGAGGGGACATGCCTAGTGGTGGGATTGCAGGGTTATAAAGTAATAGTACTTTCAGCCCTTTTCTGTTTCTGGAAAAGCTGTACTAACTTACATTCCCACGAATAGTGTAGATGAACTTTTCTTCCTCTGTATCCTGACCAGAGTTTGTTGATTTTTGCCTTGTTGATAATGGTTATTTTTACTGGGGTGATGCGGTATTTCCTTGTAGTTTTGATTTGAGTTTCTCTGATGGTTAGGAGGGCTGAACTTCTTTTTAATGTAGTTATTCATATCCTCACTTGAGAAATTCAGTACTTTATCCAGTAGTTTTATTGGGTCATTAGGTCATTTCTTTCTATTGAGTGGTGATTTTAGTTCCTTATTTGGTATGGTTATTAACGTCCTTTCAGATATACAGTTTAAAGATATTTTTTTTCAGTTCTGAAATTGTCACTTAGCACTGCTGCTTTTTTATTTTATTTTACAGTGCAGAAGCTTTTGGGTTACATTTCATCCCATTTGTCCACTTTGGCTTGTGTTCTTTATATTTTTTAAAACTTCTTCATTCATTTGGGGATTTTACATCATACACTCGATTCTTTTCACCATCTGGACACCCCATATCTTCTCTCATTCCTGAAAAGAAAGAAAACAAAACAAAGTAAGAAAGCAAGCAAATAAAAGCAAAACCAAACCCCCCCAAAACCAAAAGAGAACAAAAAACCACACCAGGAACAGAAAAATCCCTGCTTCTCCTTCTCTCTTGTCCCTCCTCCACTTCTTCATCCATCCTGGTGGCATTGGAGGCTTTGGTGTGGCATATAGAATACCCCTTTGAGGGAGAGGGAGAAGGGACTTACATGTGAAACTCCTTACCTTGAACTAATAAAAAAATTTTTAAAAAAAGAATACCCCTTTGTCCCATCAGCTTGACTGGCAAATGTTCATTGCAACGAGTCACTGGCTGGTTCAAGGCCTCTGGTTTTTGTCACACAAAATAGAAATAAATAAAATTCCAAAAGGAAATTTAAGGGGCTGTAGAGATGGGTCAGCAGTTAAGAGCCCTGGTTGCTTTTTCAGAGGTCCTGAGTTCAATTCCCACCAACAACGTAGTGGCTCACACCTGTATATAATAGGATCAAATGCCCTCTCTGGCATGCAGGTATACATGCAAAGCACTCATATACAAGATAGAAATAAATGAAATTCCAAAAGTTGTTTATGTTTTGTATGATATCCAATAGTGTTTGCCTAGGCCAATGTCATGAAGAATTTCCCATGCTTTTTTCCAGCAATTTTCACCACATATTTAAGTTCTTTTGATCCATTCACAGTTGACCTCTATAACCAATGAGGGACAGAGAGTCTGGTGTAATTCCTCAGCATACATAAGTGTTTGCCCAGAACTGGTCATTGTTTATTGAGGAGTCTTCCCCTGCTGTGCCATGCTCTTTGCTCCTTTGCTCAGTACACTTGGTTGTAAGTGCATGGGGTTTATTTCTGAGCTTTCTATGCTGTTACACTGGGCAGTAAGAGTGGGTTTATGCCAGTATCATGCTGTTTTAGTTTCTGCAGGCTTGCAGTGTACATTAAGTAAAATACTGTGATGCCTTAAGTTTATTTTTCTAGACAATTTGACTATTTGGGGGACTTTTATGATATTACAAATTTCAGGATTTTTGGTATTCCAATTTTTCTATTTTGATAGGTATTAGATATTTTAACATGATAAATACATACCATCCATGGTCATGGAATATCTTTCATTGAGTTTGTATCATTTTCAAGTTCTTATAAGAGTGTTTCATAGTATCCATTGTAGGTATTTTTCATCTTATTATTAAGTTTATTAAGAGGTATTTTATTATTATAGATATTGCAAATGGGATCGTTCTTATAATTCTTTTTGATAGAACATATGCTATACATATGTAGAACATTATGATGAGTTTATTTCTTGTATTGTTATAGAATTGGTCTATTAGCTTTAGCACTTTTTGTGACCGCCATATAGCTGTCTACATATAAGGTGCTGTGATTTATTATCTTTGTGTTTCTTACTTTGGTAACTTATTTTAGGAGACAATCACATTTCTGAGCCTGAAGGTAGTTTTGAAACTGATAGAAACTCACTATGTATTCTATTCTAGCTTCTGCTGAGACCAGCAGGCAATGCCTTGGCCAGGCACTCCTTGCTTTCAGGGTCTCCAGTAGCATGAACTTCTGAACTCAGATGGAACACTGGGCTTTGTTCAGTTGTCTGGTAAACTTCACTAGTTGAGCACTGCAAGTAATTAGAGCTGCTGGATACTGAAATTGTCTTTTCTCCATTGGGTCACTATATTAGTTACTATTCTTATCACTGAGGCAAAGTACTGAACAGAAACGACTTAAAGGAGGGCTGGTTTATTTTGCATCTTGTCTCTTAAACATACCATTGTAG